ATACCTGTACTTTCTACTTCTTACATGTTGAACACAAATACCTGTACTTTCTACTTCTTACATGTTGAACACAAACACCTGTACTTTCTACTTCTCACATTTTCCAAACAGGCTGGTTCCTTTAGTTTGAATGTGTGTTTGGTGGCGTGATCATTATTATTTAGAGTCATTGCGTGCCTATTGATTTGAACACGATCCGTGTATCCATCATTTCCTGGTCTTCTCTAAAGAAGAGGGACCAATGAAAACGTTGTCATGTTGCCGTTGTTCAGCATGGAAACATTCATTAGCTAACAATGACATTATTGTTCTATTAATATAAAGGGAGGTCAGGTACTCTTTAAAACAGCTGCTAGTTATGGGTACTTTTTACTTAAGTACATTTAAAAGTCCATACTTCTTTACTTTTACTTGAGTAAAGGATGTCTGAACTTTTGCCATCTCTGCCCATGTGATATTGAAAGACTGCTTGCATCTTTGAGCTGGTGAACTGTTCGACCAGATCAGAGTACTTGTGGGTGTCAGAGTAGGTTTCCTGTTCCCTGTGATAAGCTGATCAGGACATGACACTCTGCCCAATGCAGCACACTCAAGACTTATGTTCATGTGGGCAGGGATGTATATCTGTGCTTAGCTGACCGTCAATCTTATCATGTTTCAATCATTAGTCATACATATTGTTTGACGGCTGACTGACAACTGTGAATAAGAGATGACATGACCTCTATCATAAAGTAAAGTTTAGTGGAATTAGTTTTAAAAAAACGTCCAATTTAAGACCGGTGAGGAAAGGGACATTGCTTCACCAGATTTAGTTTGATGATTTGGCACAAAGAGGTGTTAGTAGGGGGGCAGAGCACTCACCCATGCATGTGATTTGAATTCAAGCCCAGAATTGTGAATTCTTTGGGATTTATCTCAAATAATTCCTAACTAACTATGCAAGCTGCAGAAGTGGAGGTGTGGGTTTATAAGATAAGAGTATAAACAAGGATGAAAAGGGTCTAATGAGAAGACCCTACACTGGGTTTGTGTTCGCCAGTTTTGAAGCCTCAAGTTAGACAGTCGGCTAATTGTTTAAGTCATAAAAATTAAAATGGCGGTAACAAGTCTGGGAGTTACTTTAGATTATGACTTGAATTTCAAATAGCTTGAGCAAGGTAGCAAAACAGCTTTCTAAACCTTATAAATATTGCCAAAGTGTGCCAGAGGTGAGAAGAAGCTAAGTGGATTTACTCAAGTACTGTACTTAAGTACAATTTTGAGGTAGTTGTACTTTACTGGAGTATTTCCATTTTCTGCTACTTTGTACTTCTACTCCACTATAGTTCAGAGGTAAATTGTGTACTTTTACTCCACTGCATTTAATACCTTTAGTTACTTTACAGATGTGGATGAATGATGTGAAATATAATCAAGTGTTGAATCAGACTTTAGTTCCACCTGGAGTAAATCCACAATCTACCCTGCAGTATACAAAGTCATTACAACTAGCTGCACCTTTACCAGCTTTGAGAACACTTTCATGATCAATCATTAGAAAACATATCATATATATTATTCTGAAATGGACCAATCTGCACAATGACTACTTTTACTGTCGCTACTTTCACTATATTTTGATGAGAATACTTTCCACTTTTACTTGAGGAACATTTTGAATGCAGGACTTTTACTGTAAAAGAGTATTCCTACACTCTGGTACTTCTACTTTTACTCAAGTACAAGATCAGAGTACTTCTACTTTTACTCAAGTACAAGATCTGAGTACTTCTACTTTTACTCAAGTACAAGATCTGAGTACTTCTACTTTTACTCAAGTACAAGATCTGAGTACTTCTACTTTTACTCAAGTACAAGATCTGAGTACTTCTACTTTTACTCAAGTACAAGATCTGGGTACTTCTACTTTGCTCTAGTACAAGATCTGAGTACTTCTACTTTAACTCAAGATCTGAATACTTCTACTTTTACTCAAGTACAATATCTGAGTACTTCTCCCCCCTCTGAACACTGCACTGTTTATAGAATATAGTGCCCTTTCTTATTTCAGACTGATTGTGATCGACATGCTCCTGCACGATAGGTGGCGGTATTCACATAAGAGTTTGTATTAATCCGCAAAGAAGAAGAAGAAGAAGCAAAGGAGGAAGAAGCAGCAGAATCCCTCCAGTTTTCAGTGGATGAGCAAGAAGACTTGTTTTTTTAATTTCTAGGTGATTTGGTGTATCTAATGTTGGTCTGGGGCTCACCTGAGGTGCACGTGCAGATGGAGCTGCTGTTCTTAAGGCTGTAGCGCCGGTTTGCTCTGAGATATCGCGATGTTTTCCTCCAACATGGAAACAAAAAGAGTGGAGATCCCGACCGGAATGCTGGACGACCTCTGCAGGTACCGAGCACCGGGTCCTTACCGACTTTACAGACCTCTTTGTTTGCTCATTGTACATTTAAGGGATAATAGTAGAAATAAATGTGACTTAATGTGATTTTGTTGCTAGGCAAAGTCCAAAACTGGCGCTCTGCGTTGATGCATGACGTATTGTTTTGTTGTTGTTGATGTAAGTAACTAAGTAGATTTACTCGAGTACTTTACCGAAGTAATATTTTGAGGTCCTTGTACTTTACTTGATGATTTATATGTCTTGCTACTGTGTATTTTTACTCCATGGTATGTATTTAATACCTTTAGTTACTTCACAGATGTGGATGAATGATGTGAAATATAATCAAGTGTTAAATCAGACTTTAGTTCCACCTGGAGTAAATCCACAAGCTACCCTGCAGTATACAAAGTCATTCAAACTAGCTGCACCTTTACCAGCTTTGAGAACACTTTAATGATCAATAACCACCTCCTGCTTTGTTATCTTTGAGCTGCCAAGTTCAATTGAAGCTTAGCCCCTATTGAACAGTTATTTTCTTACATACACTGGCGCATGATAAAGTAGTTAATTTATTTATTTATTAAGTAGACTTGAGTAAAAAACAAATTCTCTTTCACAATTATTGATTGACCCTAGGACGTCTTCATTAATTTAATCTTTCTCAATGTCCCTACTTTGTGCTACTTGGTAGCTCATGAGTCTCTCTGAGTGTTTATACATAGCTTCTTATTCTGATCCCGTTTCGCCCGTGTTTCTCCAGCCGCTTCATCCTGCACATCCCCAGCGAGGAGAGGGACAACGCTATCCGGGTGTGTTTCCAGATCGAGCTCGCCCACTGGTTCTACCTGGACTTCTGCATGCAGAACACTCCCGGAGCTCCTCACTGCGGGATCAGAGACTTCGCCAAAGCAGATATCCTTACATGTCAAAGACTTAAAGGTCACCTATTATGCAACATAGTCCATAATATAGGACAACAGTGGCTTTCTGACCAATGCACAAAGTTCCTAAAGGTAACACTTGAACAGAAGTTGAACTAAAACACAGTTCCACAATCAAAAACGTGTTACGATGATAACAAAGTTAAGAGGAGAGATGTTTACACTCTTACCAATAATGTTATTGGTTTTAAATGCACCACGTTGCTTTCCTTGACGGCAGCAAACTGTTCCATCACTGTCCGTTCCTGCTGCCTAATGGAGAAGACGTCCAGAAGATCCTGGAGCAGTGGAAGGAGTACAAGATGGGAGTGCCTACTTTTGGAGCCATCATTCTGGATGAATCTCTAGAAAACGTGAGTTGTTGTTTTATACTTTTACACTACAGCAACAGGCTACCTGACGAAGCGTTTATTCTTGCAATCAAATATAACCATTACCATCATCGCACACCGTCAGTGAACACGCCTAATAATGAGGGGAAAACACAACATAATAAACATAGAAAATAAAGAGACCTTACATGTGGCTCCTGCAGAAACTATGAATGCAATGATTGTGGTACAAAGAAATAGTTATTGAGAAAAAACTAATCCTATGCTTCGAATGAAAATGGAAGTAGGAGAGAAAGCTAACTGTATATTTCTTCTCTCTTCTCTTCAGGCTCTGCTGGTTCAGGGATACCTCGCTAAGTCCGGCTGGGGCTTTCCAAAGGGGAAAGTTAACGAGGATGAAGCTCCTCACGACTGTGCCGTGCGAGAGGTGAGTCTCATGTTCTCTGCTTTACAACCTGGACCAACTGAGAGCTTTCAGAGCCAAGTGTTGGTAATGTGTGTAGTTCATAGCTAGAGGTGGAAGAAGTACAAACATCTTGTCCTTGAGTAAAAGGAGAAGTACTCAGATCTTGTCCTTGAGTAAAAGGAGAAGTACTCAGATCTTGTACTTGAGTAAAAGTAGAAGCACACAGATCTTCTACTAGAGTAAAAGTAGAAGTACTCAGATCTTGTACTTGAGTAAAAGGAGAAGTACTCAGATCTTGTACTTGAGTAAAAGTAGAAGTACTCAGATCTTGTACTTGAGTAAAAGTAAAGTACTCAGATCTTGTACTTGAGTAAAAGTAGAAGTACCAGAGTGTAGGAATACTCTGTTACAGTAAAAGTCCTGCATTCAAAATGTTCCTCAAGTAAAAGTAGAAAAGTATTATCATCAAAATATAGTGAAAGGAGCGACAGTAAAAGTAGTCGTTGTGCAGATTGGTCCATTTCAGAATAATATATATGATATGTTTTCTAATGATTGATCATGAAAGTGTTCTCAAAGCTGGTAATGGTGCAGCTAGTTTGAATGACTTTGTATACTGCAGGGTAGCTTGTGGATTTACTCCAGGTGGAACTAAAGTCTGATTTAACACCTGATTATATTTCACTTAATTAATCCAGATCTGTGAAGTAACTAAAGGTATTAAATACATGTAGTGGAGTCAAAGTACACCATGTACCTCTGAACTGTAGTGGAGTAGAAGTACCTCAACATTGTACTTGAGTAAATGTACTTAGTTACTTTACACCGCTGTCCATAGCTCATATTCCCAGGTGTTTTTCAGGTGCTGGAGGAGACGGGCTTCGACATAAAGAACCGTATTTCCAAAGACGTCTTCCTCGAGCAGAAGATCACGGACCAGGTGGTTCGGCTCTACATCATCCCCGGGGTGTCGCAGGACACAAAGTTCAACCCACGGACGAGGAAGGAGATCAGGGTAGGAATACTTCTGTCCCCTCGTCTCTTCACACTGCTTAGTCCCCTGTAGGTGGTTAAAGTCCCCTACGTGTATTGGGGTTACAGATGGGGTCCAAAGCTATCAAGCCTGCGGATTATTACTTCCCCTTTTGTGTTGTATTATTGTATTCTTTTTATTTCTCTGGAATACACCGAGGACGTCCTTTGATACTACGTTACTAACACCCATGTTTCTTTATCACATAACTCTTTTTTGATTAGGGAGTCCGAAGCTTACTTTTACCTTCTCCCTCGTCGATTGACATGTAAAAGAAGAGAGAAGAGAAGTCCGAGACGACCAAGTCCCCTATGGAGCGATTCAGCCGACCCACGAAAGGTTTCCCCCCTTTCAATTGCTCCTACTTCGAGGAGGTGCTGACACGGCACGCTTCCACTCAGAGGACCAAGGGAGACGAAATGTTGGACCTGGTTGACTCTCGAAAAGCTCGGTTCACAACACATTGACACACATCAAGTATCGATCTCCACCCTGCTTCATGTTTATAGACACGGAAACTCATTTTCCTCTTCCATGAGTTCTAGAACAGGAACTCATTTTCCTCTTCATAGAAGTCTAGAACATGAGCACTCATTTCATTGCTCATGTGTGTAGACAGGAACTCCATTTTCATCTTCATGAGTCTAAGAACAAGAACTCATTTTCATCTCATGAGTCTAGCACATGAACCAGTCTCATCTTCATGAGTCTAGAACATTTGACCTCATTTTCATATCATGAGTCTAGAACAGAACTCATTGTACATCGTCATTGGTCTCACACTCCTTAATGAGGACAATGTTTCATTGTCAGGACGAAGTTTTACAAGGAGTTCATTTTCAATTTCATAAGAGGAGTTTTATATCACTTTCCTCGGCTGTCATTTTCTCAGTGGCACCACGTCTAACCAGGTAAAAGTCGCCTTACGTATTATATAGACTTATACAAAAGATTACTTAACTAGTTACTTTTGCACAAGAGTTCGACCATTATCCCGTCGATCAAAACTTACTGAAACAATAGACGTCCGCATCGAACACCTAAATGAGGTCCACTTGATTCAGACTAGTTGTGAACTAATATAAAGTGTAGTAAGGTAGGTGTAGACCATTTCAGTGATTTCCCTAATTTATGACCATCACCTTCCCTTTTCATGTGTAAATTGGGAGAACTTGACATCACCTCATCTTCATGGGAGTGTAACATGAACTCATTTACATTTCGAATCAATGAAATGTGGCGACAGGTATGAAGTATAAGGGTCCACCAAAAAAGTCCACGAACCTCCTCTGCCCGAAGCTGGTATGTTCTGCACTAAGGTTTCTGCCAGAAGGGAGCTCGTCTCTAGTGCCTGAGATCCCACCAAGCCGAGATGTGTTTAGTAGGGCCCCCAGCGTCTGGTTCAGTGGGTGCTGCTCCTTCCCTAGTCCCGTCCTTATGAAACAGGGAGCAGAGAAGTGTGACGAAGCAGGTGACATCCGACCAATTCAGGGGACGGCACATAACCCAATGTCTACCCCAGGTTTCGATAGTTCGGTGGTACTTACAGACCTCGTTTAGTTAAACTATACGATGTGTTTATGGCCGGGTCCTAGGTAACTTCAAAGACTTATAACCCAACCCGGCTAATCTTTCATAGGTTTTTTTTCCGTTATATACAAACAAGTTATCGCATCTGGATCACGAGTCCGCACTCTCCAAGGCGACATAAGCGGCCTGGGGTGTGGTCCTCGGTCGAGTGGTCACATGGCGTGAACGCGTCGTAGCTCGAGAGCGTTGCATGGCGCTAACACACACATACCAAGCTTCGGGATGGTATCGGGTTTATGCAGTGTATGGGACATCCTTCATTTGTTACCTTTTCTCTTTGAGAGGGTGCTTCCGCAAGCACCCCTCGTATCTCGTCCCGTAAGAGACACAATCTCAAAATAGGGATGTCCACATGAAACTCCCAAAACCTGGAGACGTCTGCAAAATGTACGTCTCTTTCGAAGTATTGTGGTGTTCCCCTGCCCATTTATTGGTCTCTTTCGTACTGTACCCGGGGAAAGTGTATCGGAAATCATAATAAAGTCACAAAGTACCAGCTCATTGTATGTATGGGAAGATCTTTAGACGTTTATAGTGTAAAGTTCGTGAAGTTACCTAGGACCGGCAAAGCACATCGCGATAGTTTAACATCGAAGGTAGAGTGGCT